CAGGCTCAGCACTGAGGCGGTCCCAGGTGCCGATGCCGCTCTGTCCCCTGCCCCCCTCTCCTCCACCAGCTTCCTATCCACTCTACCCCAACCTCCTCCGGTTCTCCGCCCCCCCCCCATCCTGCTACAGCTGCTTTCCATCCCATTTCTCTTCTCCCTGCCAGACCTCCCCTCCCTTCGCTCTGGCTTCCCTGCTCCTCCCTCCTGCCTCTCCTGCTCAAGGCCACGTCCCCGCCTGCCCTGGTCCAGACTGGCTCAACAGCAGCCTCCAGATGCTTGGCAGGGCAGCTGTGGGTGAGGGCCCTCACTCCTCACTGGGCTTGGCTGCAGAATGCCCAGGAGGACCCAGAGGGCTCCCAGCCTACACACCGGGCGTGTCCCCCCTCATCCAGGCTGGGAGGTGCCACAGCTCTGCCAGGAGGGACAGTCAGGATGAACAGTGCCTAGCTAACGGGGCAGCCTCTGGGCTACAGTGCAAAACCACTACATTCACAAGACCTCGGCTTGCAGGCTAGTCCTGGGACTTACTAGTTGGATGAGTCGGGAAGTCGCTTTTGCCCTCAGTGCTTCAGTTTCCTTCTCTGTAAAAGGGAGGTGTGTCATGGTAGGCGGCAGGAATTTAATCCCTAAGGGTCCCTCTTCCAGCTCCAATTCCTATAATCCTTATGACCAAACTCACAGCTGCCCTTACCTGGAATCTACTGGCCAGAGCATCAGGACATGGAGACATTCCCAGGAAGCTGGCTCCAAGGCAGAGTTGGTACCAAGCGAGTCCAGCGTGCGCGCGCACACACACACACACACACACACCACACACACACACAGAGCTATCATAATAAAGTGTCTCCCATGTACCACTGACTCCCACCACCACCACTAATCTCTAGAGATCCAGAAAATCCTGCTTTTTCTTTCCTTCTTTCCTTCCTTCCTTCCTTCCTTCCTTCCTTCCTTCCTTCCTTCCTTCCTTCCTTCCTTCCTTCCTTCCTCCCTCCCTCCCTCCCACCTCTCTCAGCAGGTAGCACTTTAAGCCTTGCTCCAGAGCTTTACAGCCACAGATGACAAAGGGTGAACACCAGAGGGCTAGAGGTTAGAGGAAAGGGTCAGGGTCTCTCTCTCCTCCTGCTTCCTCCCGGCTCCTGGGCCAAGCATAGGAAATTGGAGTTGGCTCTCTGCTACCCACCCGCCTTCTCTCTCCCATCCCCACGTATTCCTGATCGCAATCTGTCCGCTGCAAAATGCCAGCCCGTCTCCCTGCTGCCGATACAGCCATCCAGCTGGCCTGGCACACAGGGGGTGGGGGAAGCAGTGTGGGAGAGGCCAAACGCTTGGCACAAATGGCGCTGCCATGTAGGCACGGTCCTCTCCAGACCCTGGCAGTGGCACAGGCCCCAGAGACACTCCCTGCCATGGAGAACAAACCGTGTCATGCCGAGCGCCTGCTATCCCTGCTAATTGGCACTAATCTGTCCGATGATGGTCCTAGGCAGTGCAGGAGGTAGCAGGAGGGAAGGCCACCTCCCCCTGCACCCACAAGCCCCAATGTACCATAGCAACTGGCATGCCCTCCTGGAGTGCAAGGCTGCCTGTAGGCCCCTCTCCCATCAAGAGAGCAAAGCCAGATCCTCCCAGCGCCCGTTTGTGATGACAGCCACCTGCACTTCTCCCCGGAGGTTCGCCTCATGGGCGACAACCTCTAAGAAATGCCATGTGGATAATGAATGATTTGTAGCAGACACGGGATAGGGTGATGCCAAGGGCAGGGAGAGTTATCCCCACCGTGCCACAAGATACAGCCTCATGATTTTAACTGTCAGAGATGACTGGCAGGCAAAAGACCCTGTGAGCATCAGGTCTCCTGCCCTGGCCTGGGGTCCTAGTCCTCAAGCTGTACCCTCCACATGTATCTCTCTCAAAGCCACCGCTGCGATCATCTTTGGCTCTCTGTTGCTGGAGCTGAGGGGGCCAGGCCTTCCAGGGTGTTCCATTCCCTCAACAGACCACCCCATCCCAGCCCCCAATGTTTCCTGGCTCCCAAAGTCACCAGGGCGATGGACCAAATCCTGCTTCCGGCTTCACAACAACCCGCCATCCCCTGGCACAGTGCCCTGGATGGCACAATGCCTGGATGGTGCCCGCCTGTGTGGGCAGAGCCTCCCTCTCTGACCGCTCCGCAGACCGAGGGGAAAGCCAGGCAGGAATATCTTCCCTGTCAAATGGAAGGGAAACTGAGGGGGGGGGTTCCTCCCCATCCACCTCCCCACCCAGCTCTATGCTTCCTTCCCCAAAGCCATGTGCGTCTCAGCACATATGCCCTGGAGGAGAGCAGAGAGAATAATAAAATCACTGGATATACGGCCCCACTCTCCTTGGTTATGTTCAACAAAGAAACAAAATTCAATTTCCTCTTGAAAGCCCTAAATCTGAGGTCCCAGCCCCCCGGGTTTCCTGCTCACAGTAAGCATCTAAAACCTGTGCAGTGCTGCCCCTGCCTCCCTGATCTGGCCCAGCCACGACAACCCAGGCCTCAAGGACTTGGGACTATTACTTGGCTGGAAGGCTTTATCAGTAGCTCCAAGGCCAGGCTTCACTGGGACCCTGCCCCCATGGGCCTGGCAGGTGGGGAGACTGGGTGGCACAGAACTTGAGAATAATAAGGTGGCCCCAAACTTCCTCTATTCTGGACCCTGGAGCTCCCTTCCCAGTTCCTAGGTCAGAGGAGGTGGAAATCACAACAATCTCTTTGCCCCTGAGATGCCAGATAATGTTTTTAAACAATTCTTATACATATGATCTCAAGCACTGGAGGTGGTATTTTCTCCCAAAAGACAGAAGAGGAAAGTGAGGCTCATACAGGTCCTAGGCTTTGGAAGGGATCACAAAGGCCATTTGAACAACCCCTCTTTATTTTACAGAGGAATGAACAAGCCCAGGAAGGGATGGGAATTGCCGGAGGTCACATGAACAGAAGTGGGAGCTAGAACCCAGGTCTCCTGACCCCCACTTCTCAGGTTCTCTCCATCAGGGTAAGGGGCAGAGAAGATAAAAGAAGGCAGCATCCAGCCCACCTGGACCTGGGAATCCTGGAAGGGGAGGAGGGGTGAGCGCCAGAACACAAAAGCTTGGGGGAAAACCTAGGGTATTGGGCTGGCCAGAGACACAGACAGAAACATGCCCTGCACACCAATCACTGCACCTCTCATCCCTTCACTTCCTGCTGATCCCTCATAAAAGGCTTAGTCAAGGCTGCCTCGGGAACTGGGGACAATTCACAGGAGCAGAGAAGTCTGGAGAAAGAAAGGGAAGGGAGGGGAGGAGATGGGGTGCCCACAGCAAAACCCTGACTCAGCAACCCAGAGGGAGCTGCTGCTACAAGCCCTGTGCACTGGGAAGCAGGAAGCCTGGGTCCCCATTCCGATGTGGGCTTCTGCCTGAGGGGTGTACAGTAGGCCCAGAGCTTTCCTCGGGGCTTGGGAACAGGGTGATGCTCTGGACTTTGGGAGGTCCTCGGCAGCTCCTATGGGCCCTCAAAAGTCCTTGGGACTCGTGTATATGTGGGTATGCTTAGCTGGCCCCCTCCTCTTTCCTGTCAGATTGCCTCTGATGTCAGCCCAGAGACAGGTGCATGGGGCAGGGCAAGGCTGGGGTGACACAGTATGACTGACTCCTCCAGGCCCTGGGACCCTCACCGTCCAAGGGGTCTGTTCTCAGTTCCAGCTGAGGAATTTGAAAAGCTTGGAATAAATGAGAGTCAGCATCAACCTCTGGTGACGCAGAGTAAGGATGCTCTGGGGGCCAGTCAGCAAAAAGCAGACCCAGACCCCGCCCTGCCCAGAACTTCAGTCCTGATGACATGGGTCTCAAAGGAACCAGGAATGAAAAGGGAGAGCTCCACTCAGTCACCCCAAAGGGCACCAGGAGGGCCCACCCAGGACCCAGGATTCTGACTCATTCCAAACTCTGGGGGGCCCTCTCTGCTGCCCTTGTCTCTGATCTCTCTCTCTCTCTCTCTCTCTCTCTCTCTCTCTCTCTCTCTCTCTCTCTCTCTCTCTCTCTCTCTCTCTCTCTCTTTCCCTCTCCTCTCCCCTCTCTTTCTCTCTCTTTCCCTCCCCTTTCCTCTCCCTCTTTCCTTCTCCTTTCCTCTCCTCTCTCTTTCCCTCTTCTCTCTTTCCCTCCCCTTTCCTCTCCCTCTTTCCTTCTCCTCTCCTTTCCTCTCTCTTTCCCTCCCCTCCCCTCCCCTCCTCTCCCCTCCCCTCTCCTCTCCTCTTCTCTCCTCTCCTCTTCTCTTCTCTCTCTCCCTCTCTCTCTCTCTCCTCCCTCCCTAACTTCCTTCATTTCTCTTCAGTCCTTTTCCATCTCTGTGCCTCACCCTCTCCTCTGCATCTGTCCTGGAGCCTCCTCCTTTCACTAACCAGGCTTCAGGCTCCCCTACTTTCTCTCCTTTCTATGGCTCCATCCATTGGCCATCCCTTCTCTCCCTCTGCCTTAGTCTTCCTTTTCTCTGGCCAGATCTATTCCTGATCCCTCAAGTCTCATCTCCCCCTCCTTTTCCTCATGTCCAATCCTGCTCCTCTTTCTCTGCTTCGATCTGCCCCTGTCCTCTTTCCTCTGTGCCCTAGTCTACGCATTCTTCTCTGACTGTTCCCTAGTCTCCATTGTACCTGTCTTGGTCTCCCCTGACTCTTCTCCCTGAGCTTCAGTCTCTCCCCCCACTCCTCTCTCTGTGCCCCAGCCCCCCACCACATACACTTCTCTCTACCCGTCTCACTCAGTTTCTCTCTAATCCCTTCTCTGTGCCTCAATCTTTCTTGATCCATCCTTTCCAAGGCAGGAGTTAACAGGGTTACCAACTAGTCTGTAGGGCCACTGGCCAAAAAGTCCCTGGGGAGGGTCCTTCTGAAGCCAGGAGCCCATGTGCCCCGAGGCTTGCACACACACCAGCCCCACTCCCTCAGCCAGACCCTGGAGCTCTCGTCTCCAGGGGTTGGAAGCAAACTCACCGTATCTTATCTCAGGTGGGAAGAGGTCATTGCTGCTGCCCGCGTGTAGGTCAGCCTCCCCTGGCGGGCTCCCTGGCACCAGGGCATTAGAGAGGGTCTGGCTGCGGGGAGGGGCGGGAGCAGTGGTTGGGGGGGCCGGGGGCACAGCCTCCTCCCCCTGGCAGCTGCAGCCCGGCTGGGAAATGCCACAGGCCCGGCCTGCGGCCCGCCCACACTCCTGGCCCCAGCGGCACAGCACCCCGCAGGTGAACTGGCTTGAATTGTTGTTATTGATGAGCAACACCTCCACAAAGCGGAACTCCAGGGCCGAGGGCGCCAGCAAGCGGGGCGCCTCCCAGGGCTCCGCCGTCAGGCAGAGCTGCACAAAATTCTTGTCAAAATGAAGAAAGGTATAGGGATTGGAGCCTTGGCACAGCTCCAGGCCACCCCCCACCTCTTCTTCCTCCTGCCGCAGTCCGGCCTGGGCCGCCGCCGCCTGCTCCGCCGCCTGCTCCGGTTCCTGCTCCTCCGCCGCCTGCTCCGGCTCCGGCTCCGGCGCCTGGCGGAGGCAGGTGAAGTTGGCCAGGTAGTGATCCAGAGGCAGCAGCCTGGGCGAGAAGTGGGCGCACACCTGGTCCTGGCGGTTGAAACGCAAGTAGAGAGAGTACTTGGTGGGGTCTGGGTTCTCCAGGGTCCAGGAGCAGCCCGAGGCGATGGTGGGAAAGAGGTCCTGAAGGGAGAAGGCCCCGTAGAGGACTCCCGAGGCCAAGGCCGAGCAGGCGCTGGGGGCAGGGTCAAAAGCCGCAGTGAGGCGCAGGGACAGAATCGCAGACAGTAAGAGGGGACAGGCCGGGGTCATCCTATGTCACTTGCCCTGCAAGAGACCGGAGGTCAGCGGGTCAGCGTCATGCCCAACACTGGACTTCTCCTGTCCCACTCCCAGCCCGTCATACACGCCCTCGCACCCCCACCCCCACCCCATCTAGCCCTCCTCTATCTCCTCTGCCTCCAGCCAGCCATCCTTGTCAGCACCAACGTCCCAGAACCCTGCTCCACAGCGGCCTTCCCCACCTTGCCGCGCCTCTGCCCTGGAGCCTGGCCCAAGCCTCAGACACACCCACTTGACTCCAAGCTCAGTTCACTCTGTGGATTCCTCCACCTTCCCCCATTCCAGTTCCCCTTTATTCGCTGTATACCCCCCATTAGAATGTAAGCCCCTTGAGGGTAGGAACCGTCTTGTGTGTGCTGTTTGAATCCCCATCCTTAGCACAGTGCAGAGCACACAGGAAGCACTCTATAAAGGTTTTATCTGTCTAGCTGCCAAAATAATCTTTCTCAAGCACTGAAGTGGTCACAACACTCTTCTGCTCAAAAATCCTCAGTGGCTCCTTATCGCTTCCTGTATAAAGTCGATATTCCTTCTGATATTCGTTGTGCTACTCTTTGTCGTGTGCCATACATTCCAGGGGTGGGGAACCTGTGGCCTCGTGGCCACCTGTGGCCCTCTAGGTCCTCAGGCGCAGCCCTTGGATTGGATCCAAACAAATGCAAAGGATGTGTTCTGTGAAGTTTGGATTCAGTCCGAGGGCCGCACTTGAGGACCTAGAGGGCCGCAGCTTCCCCAACCCCTCTCCTAGACAAGCCAGATTCCTCGCTGGCCTTTGCCCCTGCGGTTCCCTGCAGGATATGGGGCCTTCAATTTACATCCACAGCATTGATTAATCGCCTTGCTTTAGCACTTCTGAACTGAATGACTGTAGGTCAATCACTTGCCCTCTCAAACCTCACTTTCTCACTTTCTGTATCTGTCAATACAGACGCTGCCTGCCTCGCAGACTTGCTGGGAGGAAAGCAGTTTAATAACAACCCGAAGAGCTGCAGAGATGGCACCCACCACGAAGGGGGAAACCCCAGGATCTGAGTGGGAACCCCAGCTCTGACCCTTCGCTCCCTGGGCCCAGTGAAGGCAGATCACTCAGCCTCTGCCTCCAAGTTTCCCTCGTCTGTGAGACGTGGGCATTGGAGAGCGGCCTGACCTTCCCGGTCCTCAGCTTCTTCATCTGTAGAAGAAAAGGGTCGCGCCGAAGGGCTTCAAAGATCCCTCCCAGCCTCCTTTCTAAGCTCCCGAGAGCCAGCGCTCACCCCTCTCGTACGGAGTCAGACACTGAGACCCGGAGGGGAGACGGCGCCCGGCCTCCGACACCCAGCCAGCCTCCACGGCCTCTAAGGCTCTCTCCAGCGCCACGCCTGTGGTCCTACAGCCCACCGTGTGCCCCCCACAGTTCTGGGAACTGGAGACATGAAGTTTACAAGAATGGTTCTTGTCCTCGAGGGGCTTACGGTCAGATGGCACAGTGGGTTGAGTGCCAGATCAGCAGTCAGGAAGACCCAAGTTCAAATACGCTTCAAATATTGACTAGCTGTGTGATCCTAGCCAAGTCATTTAACCTCTGTCTGGGTTTCCTCATCTGTAAAATGAGGATAATAGCACCTACCTCCCAGGGTTGTTGGGAGGATCCAGTGAGATAATAATTGTAAAGAGCTTAGCACAGTGCCCGGTACACAGTAGGCACTTAATAAATGTCTATTGGGTTGGATTATTGTGAGAACCAAAGAAAACATTTGTAAAGCACTTCGCACAGTGCTCAGTACACAGCAGGCACTTAATAAATGTCTATTGGGTTAGATTGTTGTGGAGACCAAAGAAGATATTTGCAAAGCACTTTGCACAGTGCCCAGTACATAATAGGCATTTAATAAATGTCTACTGGATTGGATTGTTGTGAGGACCAAGGAAGATATTTGTAAAACACTTCGCACAGTGCCCAGTACACAGTAGGCACTTAATAAATGTCTACTGGATTGGATTGTTGTGAGGACCAAAGAAGATATTTGTAAAACACTTAGCACAGTGCCCAGTACGCAGTAGGCATTTAATAAATGTCTACTGGATTGGATTGTTGTGAGGACCAAAGAAGATACTTGTAAAGCACTTTGCACAGTGCCCAGTACGCAGTAGGCACTTAATAAATGCCTACTGGATTGGATTGTTGTGAGGACCAAAGAAGATATTTGTAAAACACTTAGCACAGTGCCCAGTACGCAGTAGGCATTTAATAAATGTCTACTGGATTGGATTGTTGTGAGGACCAAAGGAGATATTTGTAGAACACTTAGCACAGTGCCCAGTACGCAGCAGGCATTTAATAAATGTCTACTGGATTGGATTGTTGTGAGGACCAAGGAAGATAACTTGTAAAAACACTTAGCACAGTGCCCAGTAAGCAGTAGGCATTTAATAAATGTCTACTGGATTGGATTGTTGTGAGGACCAATACTTGTAAAGCACTTAGCACAGTGCCCAGTACGCAGTAGGCATTTAATAAATGTCTACTGGATTGGATTGTTGTGAGGACCAAGGAAGATATTTGTAAAACACTTCGCATAGGCACTTAATAAATGTCTACTGGATTGGATTGTTGTGAGGACCAAAGGAGAAATTTGTAAAACACTTTGCACAGCGCCTGGCACATGGTAAGTGCTATATCAGCGCTAGAATTATTATCATTAGGGGCAGAAAACAACCTATAAGCCGGTAAGTAAATGAAACAGACTCCAGGCTTGGATGGACTATGCTCTCTGGCCTCTAGCCATGCTGATCACATGTACACAGGCTGCGCATCCCCTGTGACTCTCAGAAGGTCGCCGCGGAGGGTTCCTTGCCTTGTCTTCACATTAAGAGGAGAGCACGCCGGGCGGCACACGGTCTGCCCACCAGTCATCCCTCGCTCTCATCACGCGACCAACCCATTTCTTTTTCCATTCCTAAATTTCTTTGATGTCAGCCTTCATGTCTCTGCCAAGAGAATCCCTCCCCACCCCTAGAAAGGTCACTCCATTGACACGTTCTCCGGGGAGCTCCTTCCTTTGATCTGTATTCCCCGGCCCGCCCATGGCACTCCGCTCGGACCTTTCAGGTCCTCTTATCGGGGACTCTCTAGCCATCGCAGCTGTGGTCTCCTTTCACTATTATACCGTGCTGACCATGAAGGCGGGGATGATGTCTTCTTTAACCCTGTACCTCTCCCGAGGCGAGCACAGCGCTCCGTACGTGGCCCTGTGACTTGTGAAATAGTGGTGGAATAGAATCCTTCCCCTGCTATTGAACTCCTAATGGTTACTTGCTGCAGGTGGCTAGTAGGTACACTAGGCAGACTGGGGGGCCCGAAGGCAGGAGAATTCAAATCCAGTCTTACACACCACGCAACCCTGGGGCAAATCACTCAACCTCTGTCTGCCTCAGTTTCCTCATCTGTAAAGTGGGGGGTAATAAAAGCCACCTATCTCAATGAAATAACCCATATAAATGAAGCACTTTGCAAACCTTACATAAATTTTAGATACTATATTTCTATTATGTTCATTATCTTATTAGAGATTCACAATAAATCGGAAGGTGGGTAGAGTCCCCATTTTATAGATGAAGGAACTAAGGAGGCTTTGATTTGCTAAGAGGCATACAAATTAGGATTCAAACCCAAATCTCTCCTCACTCCAAATTCAGCATTTTTTCCACAAAATCACAAGGCCTGGCTATTTCCCCTGACCCCATTCTCCCCTGGCTTAGAAGCAGCCTCTGTCCATCCCAGAATCCCCATCCTTCCGGGCCTGACACAGGTTCGTCCTCTCCCAGGAAGCTGTTCCTGACATCGCCAACCTTCACCGGTTGCCCCTCCCACCCCCAAATGATTCCTACAGCATTTGTAGCCTGCACCACACAATTTACCACTTAATTATAGACTGTCTTGTACTACTCCATAATTGCTTTATGCGAGTGAGTCTCCTCTCCCCAAATAGATTGTAAGACCAGGGACCGTGTCCTATGCCTCTGTAGCCCTGAAGCAGTGAGAACCCAGTTACTTGCATAGTAGGTGCTCAAGCACCGTTAGTCGATTGATTACAGCGGGTGCCTCACTGGGAGGGCAGGAGCCAATGATCTAAGACAGACACTCTGGCACTGGTACCCACACCCCACATCCAAACGGCAAAAGAACAAAACCTGAAGCTGGGTGTGAGTGGACAGTGGTTTCAGAAGGTAGAGGAAACCAGGAGGAAAGACGGTACTCGGTTCACCTCTGGTCAATGCAGGACAGGCCAGTGCCAAGGCCATGACAAGCTTCCAAGGTGGCTCCCCTATCTCTGCCCATAGCTGTGAAATAGACCTGGACTCAGTGGAAGGCCAGGTGACCCTTCTACTGACATCTGGGCTCCGAGATTGAGGATAGGTGCCTTCCTGTATCTGGACCTCAGGTTCTGGCTCTGGGCAACAAGGCTAATCACAGGCTCTCTGGATTATAGATTCAAAGCTGGAAGGGTCTTCAGAAACCCTCTTGGGTTTACAGATGAGGTAAATAAGGAGCTAGGAGATTAAGCCATTTGTCCAAGGCCAAGGGTCAGAGGCATGGCTTGAGCCCAGGCCACAGAATCAAGGAATTTCTGAGTTGGAAGAGACCTCAGCAGCCATCCTTACATGAAAAGAATCACCTAACATACTGGACTGGTGGTCATCTGGCCTTCGCCTGAAGACTGCCAAATAGGGGGAAGTCGCCACTTCTCAAGGGCCACCTATTCCAAAGCTGTGGCTCTCTACCTGCCGGTCAGGGCTACTGGGATTGTTAGAGCCCTGAAAATTAACGGTGAGCTCTATGGACCGCCAGTCCCAGTTTCAGCACACCCCTTCATCCCATAATGGGATCTTACAGGTGCACCTGTAAGGCACCACTTAAAGTGAGGAGAATCATTATAAGAGGCAATGTCATAGTTTGGTCCAAAGAGAGAGCATGAAACTCGGGGGGCCAGAAGACCTAGCTTTTA